AATGCATAGTCCACCATTTACTATTCTTATTAACCAAATAAAAATATTATTCGCCTTCCTACATATGTCCTTAAAATGATTCTATGATTACCTCTTCATTCATTCCTCTAAAATCAGTATCGTATCATACAATCCGAATGAAAGAAAAGAAAAAAAAAATAACAACAGTTAAACATCCATCAGAAAGAAAGGGATAACAAAAAGAAAAAATACACTTTGACACGTCTATATTCATTTTTGATATATTATTTTTCATTCTTTTATTATTAAAATCATATTAAATAAGCATAGGTGTATCATAATATCATTTTTCCAACAAGAAAAAAGTGAGGTTAAAACTATTCAATGGAAGGTTAAAAAAATTGTGATGATAAACTAATGTCTAAGATAAATAAATGCATCATGCAACTAATTCATTAATTAACAACTTTTTTACGATAAATTATTTGTTATTATTTTATTGATTCGTATATTTAAAACTAATCACAAACTATCAAATAGATTGTTATAAAAAAAATTATTAAAAAAACATTTTTACCGATCACCAAATTTTTTTTTGAAAAATATTATTTTAATAATTTTTTTTGACAATTTTTTTACAACAATTTATATATGGTAGCTTATGATTGATATACAAATCAATAAAATAGTGAGATGTAATTTATTCTAAATTTTTTTTAAAAAAAAATTGTTAACATGTGGGGTCCTTCTTTTTACATTTTACATGTGTCTCCTCCGTTGGTCAATTGAAAAGAAGAAGTATTTGATTTCAACAGCATATCATTTACCTACCATAAATACAAAGTGAAAACAAAACGGAAAAACTGTTCCCTCTTTCCATTTCCCTCCATTTTTTTTCTTCTAAAAGCTAATCTTAAAAGACGAATAAAGTAGTTTATGATTTATTTCAGGGAACTTCTTCATGTTCTTATAACAGAGAAGAGCATTACAAGAAAATGAAATTATTAATTGTTTTTAATAAATTAAAATTAGCCTTTGTATTAGGTAATTTTTAATAATTTTTTTGTTATTTTTCTGTTTTTCTAACGTATATTTAAATTAATTTTTATCTATAAAAATTGATAATTTCAAATTTTCTTTTTCAGAAATGCTTAAGCAGCTCTTCAAATAATTGAAGTTGGCGAACGAAAGAGTTCTAGTGGCTGTTCATTAAACGTTTGATAAAATTATCTACTTACTAACAAATCAGGTATAAATAAAATAATAATGTGTTACATTGTTCTGAAATATTAGTAATTTTATTTCACATCCTTGTAATTTAATCCTTATATTTTTCATATACTTCATTCATTCTCCTGTTTTTCTTCATTATCCTTAAAGGAAATTTCTAACAAAAAACAGAAAAGTGATACAGTATTCAATAATTGAAATATAACATAATGATTAAAAAATATTATATCAGTCATTCAAGCCTAGATTAAGACACTAACGGAAACATCAGAAAAACCTATAAATATAATAAAATTAATTATTAAAAAAGAAAATTTCCCTTGAAATTACATAAAAATCTAATAAAAGATTTTCTTACATGATAAAAATATATCTTTTTTATTTAAATATTTAAGAAAACTCTCTTGTCCTGAGAAATCGTGCAAAATGCGTTTGTAATTCAAGATATAGAAGAGTATAATATCTATACTATAAACTTTGAGAGTGAAAGCAAGTTTGCAAGAGTAGATGCGTTTAATTGAGCAGTTGTGTTTGATTTTGCAAATTGGAACTGCCTACTTCGGCATGTCGATTTCGGGCATCCAGGGGCAGCCTCTTGAGGTTACGGGTAAGCACATCCCTTCCATCAAATCGATTCCGTTGAATTAACAGAGCCTTATTGAGAATTAAGAATGGCAGTGGTGTCGTGCTCCAAGCTGAAGGACACAGAATGGATTTCACGGCAAGATCCGTTACGTTTGGCATTGAGTATGGCAGCACCAAGTTCCGCACCAGAAAACCTGCACCGGTCCACCTTTCCTCGCCTTTTCATTTCTTTCTTCCTTCTCTCTCCTTCTTTCTCTCACTTCAACTCTTCCTCCACCTCCTCCGTTGCAGACGGCGGTAAGAACCCCGTCTTTCAGGAGAAGTTCGTTTTTCCCCTCATCGAAGGCCTTCGGGAGATCAACGTCCTTGTTGGAACAGCAACCTCTCACCGTTCGAACGAGTGCATCTAGCGGAAGCGGAAGTCGTTTTCCCTCTTCTCCTCTCCTCGCTCTCCTCGCCTCTCCTCTCTCTCTCCCTCTTTCTTTTCTTCTGCAGGAGTCAGCTGCACACCGGTTTCCTCTCTCAAGGCTTCGACTGACTCTGCTTGGCCACTTCAGACCAAGCGGGCAGGTACACCACGCGCACCTCATTCCACGCGTCTCTATTTTCCATCCCAACTTTGACATTTTCCTTTCGCAGACCATGCGTGCGAAGTCAACGCCTTCTGCACTATGCAATTGCCAATCAAAAGGGAGGTCACACTACCGCTTCATTGTTTTTCAAATTAGGTCATTAGTGTGTGTGGAACTGTATGTTTATATGGGGTTATTATTGCCATGCAGAAATTCGCCTCGGCACTCTCCATCTGCACCTCCCTATATGTCAACGGCAAACTCCTCGCTCCATTCCCGTCTTATTCTAAATCCGTCTCCCCTGCAGCTCTACCCACCACCCTCCCCAGCTACGTCCTCCTACCACCATCCACCAAAAGCCCCTGCGGCAAACTCCTTACCTGAACCACTGGATCATACCCACCGTGAAGAGGCATCCACAGCGCATACCGCACCGCCTCCCACACCCACAGCTTCCCCCCCCAGCCGCACATTCAGCTCCCGAGCCACAGCAAGCCACCCGGCAGCAGCGCCCCGACCCACCCGCCTCGGAGCCGCCGCCTCCACACTCCGATCCGCCGGGCTGCCTCTGAGCCACCATCTTCGTAGCCACGCCTACCGGGGACACCTCCCGGGGAAACGAGGGCGGCACCCGCCTAAGGCGGGGCCCGCGCCGTCACTGCTACTCGGCCGGGCTACCGCCAGATTTTCGGCGTGTCGTTGTGCTGCCCGCATAACACAAACGAGGCGGTATTCAGGCAGAGAACCGCCACCGCCAACTGACGAGGAATCTATCTCATTCGCAACCAAGAAAGCAACATAACGTGCGGGGTAATCACGGGATAACCCGATCCCACGTGACTGGTAGCAGAAACCCTGTTTTTGTGTTGTTTCTTGTAGGTTTCCTTAAGGAGGCGGTATGCGACATGGAGGGGCACAGGACGGGGGAATGAGAGAGAAAACGTCTACCAAGGGTGGGGCATGGGGAGCTCCAGACCTCGCTGGTACAGATAAGTGGTTTCGCTCAATGGCGCCGAGACAAGGGAGCAGGCCAAAAAGTAGGGGCTATAAGAGCCTAGCCCAATCCCCAATGTCCTCAAACCCCACCAGGATATGCCCATGTTGTGAGGACCGCTGCGTAACTAACACGGCAAGGGGCGCCGGGCTTGGCTCTCCGCCCGCGAATCACCACCTTCCATCGCCGTTCCAAAAGGCGTAGCCCGTGCAACAACGGCGAAAACCACACGCCAACTCCTGTTATCCCAAATTACGTTCCAGATTGCCAAATTAGGCCCGAGCCCAAGCCACTGATGCGGAGGGAGGTTTCACGCCCGTCTCAGCCCAGAAGACACACTCCACTCTCAGAGGGAAAGCGTACCCGGGGCACGGACCCATTTTCCAGGGGGAACTTTCGGGTGGCGGGGTTGGCAGCGGCCAGGGCTGGGGAAGATCCCTTGTCTTTAAGGGATGTTTGTGTCGTCCACTGGAACTGGACCAGACCATGGGAGAGGCACATGCGAGGATATGGATGGCAATACAACCTGCTACAAAAGGGCAGACCAAGGGGAAGCTAAAAGTGGGTTTAAAAAAAGGCAAAAATTTCTAAACTGCATAATTGTTGGAAAAAAAACAGGTAATAGAAATTTTATATTTATGAAGGCATAAAAGATACGTAGATGTAAAGGAAGAATAGCTACTAGATAAATCCTACATTAAGATCCACTTTGTTAATGTTGTGAAGCCACTAACAATGTTCTTTTGGTAGTTTTGTAGCATGTTTACAGAAGAAAAATAATATTATATGATATGCCAACGGAAATATCAGTAATTATTTCGTGGAAAATAGAAATATTATTTTTATAAACTGTAATCATCACTGAAATAATTAATGTATGAATAAGAAACATAATACTCGTTGTCTCCTGCTGCAGTTCACGAGTGTTGCATCGGCCTTACAAGATCAATCTCACCAATAGCCGAGTCGCCCAAAACTCTGCGTTCCCTAAAAATGTTAATTTAAAATTCCATTATACATTTTGGACGTAAGACTGATATAGAAGATCTAGTATTATAACACTTTTCATAATGTGAGGTTTATAATTATACTCACCATTAAAATCATCACTGGGTTAGTGGTTATACACAAAATTTTAATACTGCTCACTCAATATAAGTTAAAATTTACTATTGTTCAACAACTAAACTGAAACCGATATATATATGAATGAGAGAAATTGCACCAACATTTTCTCTCTTTGGTTATGAAGTAATCGCTACACTGTACCTGAGAAAGAACATATACACGACTATTTTCCATTCGTCTCTCATGAAATAGACAATCGATTATGAGATTCCCCCTTACATCAAAACCCAGACACTTACACGGCTACGGTGGTATTCTAAACTCTCATGATCCAATCATAGAATACGTTAGAGAAATTTTGACCTCTCAAACCTGAACCTCAAGGTATTAAAGCTCTAATTCATCGTCAAAACTGGTATATTTCAAACAGCATAGCACTCCATTTCATTGCTGACATTTGAATAATATTCATTATAGTTGAGATAGTCCCAAAAACGAGAAAGCCCAAAATTCCCATGTTTAGGTCCCTTAATATAGCGTATGTGCAGTTCTTTTAGACTTCTATCAAACTTCTGCTTTATAGAAAGCACCTGCAAATAAATTCAAACTACTGGTCAACATATTTTTACTTCGAAGTTTAAGACTGATTATTCGAGAACATACCTAAAATAGCCCAAATAAGATAATCTTATCTAGTGTGTGGATGCTTTTTTTGAGAAACCTTTTGGTAAAGTTTAAGATAAAAATGAAGAAAGTTTTACATATTCTTTAGCATTGTCACTTCTAAAGATTTGAATTATCTTTCCAAATTAGTTTTTAATCAAATTAAAGAAAGACATGTATATATATATGAATAGAAGTTCAAATCTATCTTTCATAAATACACTCAAGTACATCGAGAGAATTCATTAACGAAGGAGATAAAGGAAGATGCAACTTCGAATCCAATGGCTAGAGTGGCAAGGTGAGGAATTTTGAAGAAGAAATGAATGAGAATGAGAAACTCTTGTCAGAAATGTGATAAAAAAACATTTTGTTGAACACTTACCTTTGCCACGACGAAAATTGGTTTTGGTTTGAGAAATACATGTTTGGGTTTTGTAATAGGTGGGAACAAATACACTCAACGGGAAAAGGCTACAACCTATGGACCTCACCCTTTAAACTAGATACAGTTGTAGCACCAAAATATAACAATCTATCTTAACACTTATTTTTCGGTCAATATGATTTTTCCAAGCATAAATGTACCAGTCAATTGACGCAGAGATCCTAGAAAATAGCCTGGTTGACCGGAGATATTGATTTTGGAAAGTTTGCCTGAACAATCTTCGGATCCCAAGCCCCAACGTAATACCAGACCGAATCCAGGCACTTGCGAATGCTCCAATAATGCGGCCACTACTCCCTTTGTTTCATCAGAGCGGAAACATCTTCAAACATCGAGCCACAAAACATAAAATAAAACACCACAGCTGTCAGATCAATATTTTTTTACTGTCTAAACTTAAGGGTTGTAAGTATCGCAATTTAATAAAGTTTTGAAACTTAAAACACTATCATTTGTGCTAGTATTTTATGCGTGCATCTAGATTCAGCTGCATTAATTGGTGATCAAGTTTACACCAAACCATAACTATACCCCAACATCACATAATGCTGCTGAGCGTCCCAATTTGAGCAAATTTCTGGACATATATCATTCTTCTTAGGACTAAAGTCCAACAATATTATGTGAAAGCAACCATTTACGTATTAAGGTTAAAGCCAACACTGCTCATACATACGCCTATCTTTTCCCCCTAATCTCTGGCCATAAAACAAGAATGGCAAGACACACCACTTCCTTAAAGGAGGTCGCCAAGGGTGCCCAGTGCCACAACTATTAGTGGATAAATTGGGTTGCCGTGTTGGTTTTTGGTGGCGCAGATTGCGAAAAAAAAACACTCCATGCAAGAGGCACACACTTGAATTGTGCATATCTTAGAACCCTTGATGTCCTTGGATGAAGATAGGTGAAGAAAATGGATTAGTTATTGAAGATGGGGCAAATGTGTCAAGACTTAAATAGGCAATGGTATCAACATTCTTTCCAATCTCTATTACTGAATGAATTTCATGAAAAAAAAACATTTTTGGTGGAATATAAACGATAAAGAATATATTGCTAATATTTTTTGCTTTCAATGAAAATAGACACCTTACTATGATTTACGAATTCTTAATTTTTGATCACTCCCCAAACATTAAAGCCATGATGAAAGTTGGCTTCAGCCTTAAGATGGTATAATTAAATGACACCTACTGATATTAGAGAGCAATTCATCACAGTTGAAATATTTTCAAGAAATGAGAAAAGACCCCTGTTCAAGTTATTCCACTGATGCACATATGTTATATAAATTTGAGACTGAAAAAGCCTAGACCTCTCTAGATACAAAATAATAACAGCTTTGAAAAGCATTCTGAATAGATATAACAACTATCTCAACAATGATCAAGCATTCGACTACACACAAGATCCACAAATCCAGCAGACATGCAGTGGTACAAGATGTGTATCCCTGACTCTGATAATATTAACTTGGTAGAAATAAAACAATTAATAATTGAAGATTGAAATTTATCTTATTTATTCACTATTTACAGAAAATAAACAATGCACCACAGTTGACTTTTTTTTTAATAACTGTCCCTATAGATTGCAATTAACAAATAAATGTAAACTTACATGCATAATGAATCAGCAAGATATTCCATGTGCACTGATTCAAGATCCATCATATCTTTCACCTGTATGATAAATGGCACGAATATCCAAAACTTATAAAGAAATTGAATTACCAGTCTTATAAACAGATCTAGCCATCAAGTTATCACAACTGGAAAACTAGCAAATTGAACACTTGAGTAGGTAGTGGAAATATGGTAAATAAAACAATACATTTGATCTTTCTATAACCCTTAAAATGTAATTCCATTGTTTTTGTATTTCTATACTTCAAAAACTAAGTGAATACAGCTAAGATGACTTCAAATTTTTTTTAAATTCCTACATGAGAATCTAAAAGCCTCCCACATGAATAACAAAATATTTCCAAAGTTCCTCTATGTTATGCATGCATTAGCATTAAGACTTCAGAAACCAAGGGAAAATATACAGAGGAGAAGATATGAAGGATATTGTTGGTTGAACAAAATCTACCACAAAGGAGAACAAGTTTTACTCTTCTATAAAACACAATGCATAAGCCAGTACAAAACAAAGTGTAACTTTTAAATGAGCAACAAAAAGTGCCTCAGAGAAGATCACGACAATCAAATAAATAGCTATATCCAAATTAGAAGCTTTGTCCTCAAACCTTATGTTCACAGGGAAATGAAGAAACCTGCACCATGATACATCGAAGATAATGTGACTCAACATACTGCTGCAAAGTAGATACAAAATGGTTTATCTGGTGCCTGTCATTGAAAGTAGAACAAGGATTCTTAGAATTACAATTATCAATATAAAAGTTCATCTTCAATATTTAAACAGTGCTCATTAAGTATCCCTTTATAATCAGTGGGAAAAAAATGGGTAACTGTTGTATCTTTCAGAACCCTACCCACAGACCATACCATCCTGAACCTCCAATACCATTTAGAAAAACACTTTCAGTACCTCATCTTCACAATATATAAGAATGCCCGTGCTCCAGTTGTAGTTCTAGAATTTTTCATCTTTGTTGGTTGCGTCCATCAAATCCTTTCACCAAAATTTATAGAAATAAATTCCATTACATAACAGAATCAGAGAGCCGCGATTCTTTGGAATGACACAGTTAAACACTAAAAAAAAGAAAAATCTCCAGAAATCACCCTTTAATGAGACACACACCTCTGTCATGAAAAATGGCAGCTTCACTTGTATCAAAAGCTGAATATACAGCATATATTTCATGCGGCAGTGTTAAACAATACTGAGAGTGGCCAGTGCACATGGTAACCCAGCCTAAGAAATCGAAAGAACGAACCCCTGCCAATATTACAAATTATAGTTCATGCCAAAGTGAGGATAATGGTGGGGGATCTGTATCAGCTTGCCATGAACCTCCAAAAATAGAAATACATTAACAACCCCCCCCCCCCCACACCCCACCCCTCCCCCCCCACCGACCACAACCCCCCCCCCCCCACACCCCCCCCCACCCCACCCCCCCCCACCCCCCACCCCCCCACCCCCCCCACAACAACCCACACACAACCCCCCCCCCACGCCGCCCCCCCCTACCCACCCCAGCACCCCCCACACCCCCCCCACCCCCCCCCCCCCCCCCCCCCCCCCCCCCCCCCTCCCCCCCACCCCCCCTCCCAACCCACCCCCCCCACCCCCCCCCCCCCCCACCACCCCCCCTCCAGCAAAACCCCCTCGCCCACCCCACCCCACACCACACCCCCACCCCCACCCCCCCCGCCCCGATCCCCCCCCCCCCACCCCCCCCCTCCCCCCCCCCCCCCACCCACCCCCACCCCACCCACCCACCCCCCCCAACCCGCACCCCCACCCCACCCTCCTGCCCCCCCCCACACCATCCCCCCCACCCCTCCCCCTCCCCCCCCCCCCGCCACCCCCCCCACCTACCCCCTCCTCCCCCCCGACCCCCCCCCCCCCCCACACCACCCACCCCCCCCCCTTCACCCCCCCCCCCCCCCCCCGACCTCCCCCCCCCTCCCCCTCCCCCCCTCCCACCCCCCCCCCCCCCCCCCCCCCCCGCCCCCCTCCCCCTCCCCCCCCCCTCCACCCCCCCCCCCCCCTCCTCCGCCCCCTCCCTTCCTCCACCCACCCCCCCCCCCGTACAAAAGTTCAAGCTTTAATTTGCGATGGGTGAGTTGATTTACACGGAAATTGAGACATAATATGCTCTAACAGGCACTCATATGGAAACTGAAATCCTATCCTAATTTAATATATAAAATGGCTGGAAATTTTTTAAAATTTTAAAAATCAAATGAAAGTTGACTAAATGAAGAATATGTAATAGAAAAGTATCATTAAAAATATAGTTGGCATTTGTAGTTAACTTGAAATAATGATTTTGTCCTTTCTTTCAGATTGTGATGAAAAAGCATACCTAGGTCTCTAGGAAAAGTAAAAATTGATTACAACAGGGGAATCCTCTTTTTATAGTAGTATGGATGTACCTATAGCAGATGCAGAAAGAGGCAATTTCCCATGTCCTTTCATATACACAAACAACATATCCTTGTGAGAATCTTGTTCACAAGAAGACTTCTGAATTGACAACTCAAGTAGACCTTGAATTTCTGAAAGTCTCTCATTTGCTTCAGTAACAGACCACTTCTGTAATTTCAAGTAAACCAAAGAATGAGTAAACACAACATTAATTTAGGACAACAGTCAGCTGCAAGATATGGAATCTATGAAAATATTCTACAGTTATTCAGAATCAGAATTTTAGGAACATATGCCAAAGAGACAAGATCAACAAATCTGCCCAATCTGCTAACTCCATAAATGACCTACCGCCGTAGGTGCCAACATAGAGTCTTGTAACTTAAATGCTTCCTCGAGGACCCCCTGATGGTAAGCTTGCCTGACATAATTGTATCGTGACATCTTTAAGGACAGCAGCACAAGTACCACACCCGGAAAGCATTATACTGAGCATCTCAACTCATTTCAATGGTGGAATAGGACCACAAGTGAAAAAGATGAATTCCTTAAATGATATTTCTGAGATAATTTTCATAAAGAGCTTGCTAACCAATGACCTTAAGGCTTGGTTGAACACGAACAGAAACAAAATTTTAATTGGCAATACACGGTGCAATCAAATCATGGTGAGAGTACACTAATAACACTGTTTAACAAAAAAACATTAATTTTAAGTCCTTAATCAATGTCTTTATGGCACTGATTAGCATTTGCCTATTAATAAAATGTGTTATTAATAAAATGTGTTATTAATAAAATGTGTCAATTAAACTTATTCAACAAACTTGCACCTTAAAACATTAACTGGCATCAAAGATTTTCAAACTAATATCATGTACTTATTATGTATGTTACCCAACATACTATCATCATCTGCACTTATAAGAACTGACAATCTACCGAATTAGCAATTATTCCATTTGCCAAATTTTACACATAAAAACCTTCACATGGTCATGAAATTAGCAATATCCACTTCAAGATATGATATTTTAAACAAATTAGCTGCACAAATTGCATCTTGTTATGACAATAATACTTGAAACACACCGACTACTATAGAGAAGAAATTTCAAATGCCATAAATTGGTCAATGTAGCATGTCCCACCTTAGGAACAAGGACTGTTTGTTTTGGTTGAAGAAGCATTCTCACATTTCAAAAAACTCAAATAAAATACTAACACAGAGATCTTTCATGGTCTTTAGCTTCTTGATCAGACAATTTTGAAAACCATTCCAACAGGTCTCATCATCAAAACAATAAAATCCCTTTCAAGTCCACTGTGTCCGAGTTTTTCCATGTATTATGGCATCACTAAAGAACCCAATTGAGGTTGCATTGACCCATTATTACAAACAGTGATACTACTGACAAATAGTAAGATGAGATTGGAATGACCAGAATTAGACTTCACTGAACTGGGTATTCATTATAAATTCATACTAGTTTAATCTAAGTACATCCAGAGAAATAGAAGCAATATACATAAACTAATCAATCAATTTTGCCAGAATAAACACAAAGAAAAGGATACTGAAGCATGATTTCCTGCAGCAAGCACTTGTCAATTATAATATCAAGTGGTATATCAAATGTTGATGACAAACTTCGTTTTTGAGTATCATCACAATTGACAGTTTTTCCAAAACTACTCAGCAATCTTTCCCAGCTGCTCCCACCAGACACAACATTTAAATGTTTATGGTCCATGAAGTCAAGTGAAGAAGATAAATTTGGAACATCAACTAACACATTCTCTCTACCACAGCCAATTTCTTCTCGTTCATTATTCTCAGCATTATGAGTTGACACATTATGATGTAGCGTAAATGAACATGCACTGCTACATCTAGAGTTAGTGGGTATTTTGTCCATATAAACCTTACATGGGTCCTCCACAGTAGAAAAGTTGAAGTAAGGCAAAAGCTGTCCATGTTCAGCCTTGTATTTTTCCCCATTCCCACTCATCAGGTGAAGAACTGAATTTCTTGTCAACATAGGATTCACACTAAGGGGATTAATGCTAGGATAATTACACTGATTGCTATATTTCTGCGGTTGGAAATCATACAAATGTGAAATGAGTGTACCATTGTCAGTTTGATCCTCCATCATGGCCTCCCCACTCAAAGTATCACTAGCAGTAATAACATCATGGCATAACATAGAATATCTCAGGGATCCCAGGTGCTTTTCAGTCAGCTTTGGCTCAACAGCTCCATCATTATCAAATGA